AGGCTACCATTGGACATGTACTAATAAATAAACAAGTAAAAGTTCCTTTTCATGGCACCAAGCTATGAGCTTCACTAAATTCTTGTGCTTCAATTGACTAATAATCTTCACTTCCAACATGTACTCCTTGATCCCTTGTTTAGAGCTTCTTGAAACCCTTTTAACTGCAACATTTGTATTTGAATCCCTCAAGAAACCCTCATAAACTGCTCCAAACCCTCCCTTGCCTAGCTTTTCTTCATCTGCAAAACTCTTTGTAGTTTTAGCCAATTCATCATAATTGAACTCCCTAGGTCCCATGCCATTTCCATAATATCCATTGTCAATCAATATATGAAAAGCAAGAACAGGTAATTCCATTTTTTTTTTTACCCTTCCTCCAAAAAATAAACAAAGTAAAACCTAGGCCAGAAATTACAGCACCTCCAATGGCTATCCCTACCAGTATCGCTGTCCGCTTCTTACTTCCTTTGGGGGGAAAAGGATCAAATGTTCCATTGGGAGCAAGTCCAAAGATTTCTGGGTCTTCAATATCAGAGCTTGGTGGGACTATTGGGGTTGTACGGGACTTGTGTTTAGGCTGCATGTTCGGAAGAAAAAGCCCCCAGTGTTTCTCAAATTCTGGCTCTTTGTTATTCTCATCAAACATGGCAAAAATGTATGTTTCAACTGGTCTTCCAGGCTTCTTCAGTGTCCCCCACTTCACATGCTGTAACAGATTGAATTTGTAAGTCCCAGCAAACTCAGTTGTTGCTGCCATTCCACCAGCTGAGGGCCAACCACTCTCAGATACAACAACATCCAAAGAACCCCCATTAGACCTTTTGAGTGTGGCATAAATAGTATCCAAAAGTGCATCAAAAATATTTCTTGTATTGTAAATGACAATCCAAGAACACAGGTGATGGAGATGTGAAGAGAGCAAAATTGAGACTAATGACATTGGAGCTGTTATGTAAGTTGAATATGGATGCAAGTTAACAAGTAATGGGGCTGAACTGTTCACCAAGAAGTGGATGACAGGATCAAGCATTGGCTTGTATTCTGACCTGAAAGACCCATTTGATGAAGGGAAATATGATCCTATTGCTTTTGTATCAGTTGCTGTGGATACTTTGATATCAAGCTCAGCCTTTACAACTGCTTTGTGAATATTCTGCATTTGCAGGTACTAGAAATGGCACATATGAATCTGAAGGCCTCACTAAGTTTCCAACAACAATATACCAGAACTTGATGCTGTCATAGTCCCTAACATTGTTCTGAATCCAAGTATCAGCATTATCTTGACTGACAGCAATGTATTGAAAATCAGAGTTGGAAACGCCAAGCATGACCTCAATGTTGGACCCTCTTAGTGCTTGGAGAACATCCAAATCTGGATCATAGAGTCTCATTCTTTGGATATTATTCCACTTGTAGAAAGCTGCTACAACTTCTCTAGGCACTGGTAAGTTGCTCCCAAGCCTTCCATAACAAACACCAATATAGGGACTTGGTGCCAGAGAATTGGATCTTGGCAGGACTGCTGGAGAAGGTGATGGACAAATAGATCCATTGATATCAGCATTATATGATAAGCCTGCAGCATTAAAAACAGATTGAGTGACCACAGCTAAGCCAATGAAACAGAGAGCTGCTGAAAAACTATGCAATCGCATTTTGGTCATATGGACTGTAAATTATAAAGAAGCTTTGCCCTTTTAGTCAGTTGCTCAACTCAATACAATCATCAGGAAAAAATATTGTCCATTTAGCTTATATTGTAAGTTAGTCAAGTCAAAGACTGCAAGCATCAGCCAGCAGGCTCTAAAGGAAAAAGCTCAAAAAGGAAAGCATGACCCACATAGTTGCTTCAGTTAGACACCTTCCTAAAAGAGAAATTAAACTGAAAAGCATATGTTAGAGTTAGAGGCTGTAAATTAGGAACTATCTATTCAAGAATCAGGAAATAAATGAAGGGAAATAACAAAGGAAACCATGAAATCCTTGAACCAATCCGATTAAAGTTGTGTGGAATTCATCCTAGACATGTCCTTTTAACAAAAACTGCTGATTTTAAAAGGTGTTGTAACTCATAAGCCCTTAAAAAAAAAAAAAAAAAAAAATCATTTTCTTCTAGTTATGAACTTCAATTTAATTGAGTCAATACCTACTACCTAATTCTAAAGTTAAAGAGTTAGGTATTCATCAATTCTCTATAAGCTCAACGCCAACTTCTTAGCCGCCATTTTTTTTTTTTATGGAATAATCAGAATCATCAGTCAGCTTTGGTGCATTGTTGACAAGTCAATGACCCATCAACTAGGTTGAGAACAGTGCAAACTAATTGGTATTATATTGATATATCACATGTTTTAAACGTTTCCATCAAAAAACAAAGGTAGAACACTATGGATAAGAACAGAATCAGATAACCAACTACAGTAAAAGGGGGAAAAAATAAAAATTTAATTTTTGAAGGAAATTAATCTTTCATTGAATTTACAAGTATTGAGTTTTCCATTAAATCTAGCATGGACGATAAACAATAGAAGAAAAACAGCAATGAAAATTTTAAAAAAAAATGGAGGAATGCAAAATCAAAAAGAGAAAGAGAAGAAACAAAATGGAAACAACAGCAATGAAATGCAGAAATATTGAAATTAAAAATAAAAAGAATATTTGAAGGGTGATTATATGTACCCTTTTCCGGTGCCGGACTGCCTTTCTGTGCAGAAATCCCCTTCGCGGGGGCAACCCTCTTTTCTTTCCCGTTCTTTTTTCTTGTTTTCTGCATTTTCACCTTAACAAAGAAAAGACGACGGGCAGCCCAAATTTTAAAAAGAGCCTAATGGACCAATGGCCCTAAAAATGGAAAAAGAAAAGCAGAATTATCACATAGCTCTAAAGCCCATGGCTTTTGTGCTCATCATAAGTGGGCTTTAACATTATCTCTCTAGTTTCTACCCGCCCCCCTGGATCTGCTGATAACTTGTAGTAC